CTCACTCCATTTGGTGCTCGGCTGAGTTCTTTATCTCTTCATTTGATGTTCTAGGGTTTCAGGATTGTTGATTCTCTGTTTGGCTTAGTTTTTTGGATCTTTGCTGTGGAGGGACGGCGTGGTGCTTCTGCCTAGAGCGCCATCCTGCCGGAACCTCCCCAGAAGTTTCTTTTTGGAGGTCACCTTTGTTTCCTTCCCTTCTCTAGAGTGGGAGCCAGGGAGAGTTCAGAGTGTCTATTCTATTAGCCAGAGCTCTGGTGGCATAGTGGTTAAGAGCTATGGCTGCTAACCAAAATGTTTGCTGTTTGAATTCACCAGCAGCTCCTTGGAAACGTTATGGGGCAGTTCTAGTCTGTCCTATAGGGTTGCTATGAGTCGGAATTGACTTGAAGGCAATGGGTATGCACCAAATTATTCACAAATGTTGTTGCTCAAGAAATTTACTTTGCCAAGAAAAAACACTCTTAATCTTTATCCACAATAAATATTCTTAATTAAATTATTATTATTATTTCTGCATGTACATTATCTCTCCTTACCCCTGATTTCCATTACCAGGAGGCAGCCACTTTTAGTACTTTTTTTTTCGGTAATTACTTCCATATTTCTAAATAACGTGTTTTATCTTAAAAAGAAGATGTAAACTTAGTTTTTATAATCTTCTCCCAGAACATATACACAAATATATATTCTCACTTAATTTTACCTCCTATTATCCTCCCAGTAAAATTATATCATAGTTTTTTGTTAAATCAGTATTCATAATATACTTTCCTGTAATTATGTGTATCTTAACCTCTGCTAATCCATGTAAAGTTCTACAATATCAATTTCTCTCTTATAAAATACCCTCCCCCTGGATTTAATAAGGGCCTCATATTTTGATTTGCTTTGTTTAGGGTATGTATTTATCACTTACATGTCCCCAAATTCTCTTCAAGGAGTGTTAATCTTTTGTCAAACGCTTTAGGTAACCTGCAAATTACATCTTTTCCTTGGAGCTACTACACCAGTTATTTTCTTTTTTCTTGTTCCTATCTGGACCCATTGATCTTCAGGCCTGAAGCTCAGCTATTGTTCTGGAATGTCCCTTTCACTGATACCCTAACATTTGTTTTCACTTGGTGCTCAATCCCCTGTTTCTGGATGCCATGTCTTCATCTTTCTTGGTTTATCCCATTAGCTTCTTGAGAAAGGGTACACTAAGATAAGAATGTTTGTGATCTTGTATGTCTACAAATCTTTATTCTCCTTTCACACTTGATTATAGTTAGTTAACATCATAAGCTGCTAATCAGAAGGTTGGAAGTTTAAGTCCACTCAGAGGTACCTTGGAGAAAAGTCCTGGCAATCTACTTCTGAAAAATCAGCTGTTAGAAACTTTATGGAGTACAGTCCTACTCTGACACATATGGGGTCACCATGAGCTGGAATTGACTTGATCGCATTTTTTTTTAATACAAAATTCTAGATTGGAAATCTTTTCCCACAGAATTTTTAAAGGATTGCTCTATTGTTACTGCTGAGAAGTCAGGCATTACTGCTGAAAAATATGATACCATTTTATTCTGGCTTCTTTTACTCATGATTTGTATTTTGTTTTTCTCCCTGAAAGCTTTTGGACTTCTCTTTATCCCAGGGTTTTGAATTTGATGAAATTATGCCTCATAGTAAGTTTTTTTTTTTCTTTTTTCTTTTGAATTATTATACTGGACCCAAAATGGGCCCTTTCAATCAGAAAATGAAGTTCCTTCAATCCTGGACAATTCTTTTGTAGTATTATTTTCTATTTTCCTTTTCTTCAACTCTTACTAGTCAGATATTGGAGCTTCTGGGTTGTCCATATTCTCATCTTCTCTCCTTTATTTTTTGCTTTTTGTACTTCCAAAGAGACTTCCTCAACTTTCTTTTCCAGTCTTTATGTTGAGTTCCTTACTTCTGTTATTTTAAATTATTTGGGCTATTTTTGTTTATCTTCTGCGTATTCCTTGCACTATCATGCTCATATTTCATGAATAAAAGGCACTATATCTCTGAAGTTATTAACTGCGATATTTGTTTGCTTTTCATTTTTTTATTTACTCATTTCATACCCCTTTTCACTCAAGTTTTTCATCCTATTGGTTTTAGTCTCTTTCTTTTATATTTGAAGTTTCCCTAATGTCATCTGCTGCTTGGCTGGCTGCTTGCTTTTCAGAACGAGGAACTCTATGGCTACCTGGAAGCTCAGTGTGCCGAGGGTGTGAGGTTAGGACCACTCTCAGCTTCATTAGTCTGGGCCATTCGTTGGGAATCCCTAACTCTCTAAACCTGGAGGTCAATATTCTTAGACAGGTCAGTTTCCCCAGAAAGAAATCCTTTGATCTATGGCCAGGAGGATACAAGACTGGCTGCCACATTCTGGATCAGAGTGGGTCTTAGGTTTTATTTTAGATATACTTGGATAATTTATGTATATTTGAATTGTTTTGAGTTAAATAATATTTTGGTTTTGAAAAAATAAATTACAAGATATTTCTTAAAAGATTAAGTTTAAAAATATGAGAAATATTTAGCATTTATTGTGGGGAAATTAGAACAGAGCTGCTATTGTAGGAGTTTTCTTACTTTCCATGCAGTAGGTATATCTTCACTTAATCCCTCTGCACCACTGTGGCACCCACTACACCTGCACCTAGCGGCTCAGAGCCCAGATCCTCTGTGCTTACACCTCCTCAGAGACTAAACCTCCCTTCTTCTGCCAGCATAAAGGGGAGAAGCCAGGGATATCTGATCGCATTTATGCAGAATTTCTACCAGACATGTTTTCCCAACTTCACGTTCTCTATTGTAGCAATTGGTTTACTTCTTATGTTCCCCCTACCGCTGGCTTAAGTCTGTTAACAGTTACCACTTGTCCATCTACTTTGAAACTTCCAGTATTTGCTATTGTCTATTATCCTGTTTTCCTTGTCCTTGTGGATTTATGTTCTCTTATTCCTGCACTGTCTTTCATTTTACCAGAGTTTGATGAAGGAAATAAGGTAAGGCATGTGCTTATTCTTTCATGTTCAACCAAATGGCTACACAAACTCTTTTTTGCATTTCTGTTTATTTAAAAAAACACACACACACACAATAGCAGCCAAATAAATTTTAGGAATGAGGAGACAGGGGAATCATTCTCATTTTGTTTCCATTTAGTAGAGTCACTAGAGCACCTATTTTAAGGTTGTCTTGATAGAGATTATATTTTATTTTAAATATACTTGGATAATTTACGTGTATTTGGAATGTGTTGAATTAAATAAGAATATTTTGGTTTGGAAAAATAAATTACAGAATATTTCTTAAAAGATAAAATTTAAAAATCTGAGAAATATTTAACATTTATTTGTGAGGAAATTAGAATATTTGCTATTGTAGGTATTTTGTTACTTTCCTGTAATAACAAGTGGGTGTTTAGAATATCAAACTGCTATAATTTTACTGATTTATTTTATAAACTTTCTAGTAACTAATGTTTAGTTAGGAAGTCATTTGAATAGATCAATTTTGTTCTTGCAAAGTGCTATTTATTCTACAAGTACTTCTGATGTAAATTGTCAAGTTATATCTAAATAAGTATTTAGGTTATTCTGTATGTAACTTCTAGTTCCTCATAATTTATTGAGTGCATTTCCAAATTAGAAAACCTATATATGCTTGCATTATTCATTTAAATGGCATTATTGCATAAATGTTAATGGTTTGGACTCTGAAGCCGTACTTCCTGGGTTCAAACCATTAGTATGCTGCTAACTAGCTTTGTGGCAAAGTTTGTAGTATCTGTGCCTTTTCCACCTTTTCTGTATCATGAGGAGAAAAATAGAATCTGCCTCAAAACTTGTGGGGATTAAAAACGTTAATAGATGTAAAGTGCTTATTACAGTGCCTAACGTGCAATAAGTATTGACATTATTATTATTATTAGTCAGATAATATCAGTGTACTGAAAAACAGAACTTAGTAGCATAAGTGAAAATAACAGAAGACATTTTGATTGCTCCCTGACTATTGTTTAGAAAAAGTTGACTCAATCTTGATTACATGCCTTTCTGTTCATATTTTCAGTGAGATAGAAAATAACAATCTTTGCATAAACTGACAGTTCCATTTCACATTCAGGATGGCCATTTGGAAACACAATGTGCAAGAACAGTGGACTGGTCCAGGGAATAGCAGTTGTAGCTTCAGTCTTCACTTTAGTTGCAGTAGCAGTAGACAGGTAAGTCAATGCCAAGCTCCGAATCTGGGAAAATGGGCATGTCTGCAATGAATCCATCTAATCAGAGAAAGTCTACTAAATCCTGTCTACCTGCTCAAAATTGTATCCATATTCACTACCCCGTTAAGAGACAGGGGACTCATTCTGATTTTATTTCCATTCAGTAGAGCCACTAGAGTGCCTATTTTAAGATGGTCTGGATAGATACTCTAATTTTATTTTAGATCTGAGATTTACATTAAAATCTGGGAGTTTATTATTTCCAGTGACTACATCTTGTTACTACTCCTACTATTATACCAAATTATTGGTTGATGTGAATGTTTATATTAAATGCTATACCTTAATTATGTAATTACATAATTGTCTGTCATCTTGACAGTGAATAAATATCTATAATATCCATTGCATTCCCCACTTGAATCTTGACCTTATCATGTTTTCTTCCACATTACATTTAGTGCTTAAATATCCTTAAATTAGCTTTTCATTATTTCTAGCATACCTCTTGAACATAAAATTAGAAATAAGCATTCATCTTCCTTTTTAAAAGTAAGTGATAGTAGAGTGTGTAAATAAATTGTGCATATCTATCAAATGTCTAGAACTGTACAGTGGTTAAAATGAATGAACTAGGTCAATGGATATCACTATACATAACTCTCAAAAGCTTAAAATCTCAAAAAAGAAGTTTCATAATGATACAAACAGTATGGTGCCATTATGTAAAATTTAAAACATTATAGGTACAGACTAATACTGTAAAGGCATGAAAGCATGGACATGGACAGGAGGGATGTATAACAACTTCGGTAGGCCTGGGGAGAGTGGAAGAAGAATGGGATTGAGTAGATTTACCAATGGTGTTTCAACTGTATGTGTAATTTTTTTTTAATGATGAAAATATGACAAATAATTTAACATTTGTTAAACCTGGACAGCAACAACAGGTGTATATTATATTTTCCCTCCAAATTTCCTATATGCTTGAAATATTTAATAAGTGAGAGTAATCAGTAAATGAGTATAAGGATTATTTTTCTTCTTTGCATGTAGTATTGTTTAATTTTCAGAGGAATATTAACTTTTAAATTGTGTTTTACATACGTTTAATTGGTTTTAAGAAGATAATTTCACTTCTCCTCATTTTATTTTTAATTGTCCATAGGTGGCACTAGTAAAACGAAAATATTACATTAAATGTACATCTAAAAATATCAATAGCTACAAGAAAGCAAAAAAGTATAGGGTGGCTATTTAACTACATTGTTCATTCAAAGAAAAGTTCTTGATTTTAAAATATTTTATAGGGATGTAAACAAATAGTAAACTTGACAGAAAATGCTAATCTTATAAAATCTTAGCATTTATTAGGCATATACATTCAATTTTAATTCGATAGTTGGTATTTAAGATTTATTTTATTAAGCAACAACATATGTGTAGGTTTTAAAGGGAGTATGAAAATAAGCAATTTTACTTTTGATATGGTTGAAATATTTTAAAAGAAAAATTAGTAAACTAATGTAAGAAGTATTTTCATTCATTGTATAACAATCAGTCTTGCACTATGAGATTGAAACATTAGAGGTTAAGAATTTTAGAAGTATATTTTTGGGTGTTTAGTTTTATGTTCTGGGTATTTTTCTGTTATAATCGTTCGTTAATAAGAGGATTGTGGAATAAGCAATGGTTTAGGACTAGGTATGCACATGGTATTTTAATCCTGCCTGTGCAAATGAAATACTCTTTGAGCATACCATGGAAGTCTTGGTGCCTTAATTTAAATGGAAGGAAAAGGAGAAAACTTTTTAACCTGTCTAATTGTATGTGTGAGGAATAATTGATCTTAAGATAGCATAAACCCCCTTGCCATGGAGTCGATTCCAACTCATAGCAACCCTATAGGACAGAGTAGAAGTGCCCCATAGGGTTTCCAAGGAGCGGCTGGTGGATTAGAACTGCCGGCCTTTTGTTTGGCAGCCAAATAGCCACTATAATTCAATAATCTTCAAATGCCATCGACATCCCAGTGACTCTCGTAGTAGATGCTCTCAGTTCCCTGCCCATATCTCTTGGACTTTTCAGTCTGTTCGGTCTGACGTTCAGCTGACGGTATCTTCATCTCTGTATCGCTCATCCAAATTGTGGAAAGCCACTCTGTCTTTCAGCAGACCAGGCCAGAAATACCAGAGAATTAACACCCCCATGAGCAGCTCTTAACCAAAAAGTTTTGGGAGTTAGTGTAAAAATACTCATATCCCTCTCCCCTAAAGTGGGATAATTCTGAGGTGAATGTTTTGCACCATTTACCGGAGAGTCTTCTCAGGACTAAGCTCTGATCACCCACTGTGACTGATGGTTTAATTCACTCACTTTATTATCTGCCTTTCCATCCATGTATGACTTCCCTACAGTTTTAGTTATCTATTGCTATATTTAAAAAAAAAAAAAAAAAAAAAAAAAACTCCCAAAATCAAATCACTTAGTGGCTTAAAACAACAGTAATGTTTATTATGCTCATGAATCTGCTATGTGAAGAGCTTGTACAAGTACAGCTTGTCTCTGCTCCACTGGGCATTAGGTAGAACGGTTCCAAGCTGAGGCTGAAGGCTCCCTCATGCTTACTTCTGGTGCCTGGGCTGGGAAGACTTGAACAACTAGGGGTAAAGCAGAACTGGGGCTCCTAAGGCACTCTGTGTCTTCTTACCACATGGGCTCCCCAACACGGTGGTTTCAAGGCAGCTGACTTCTTACGTGTTCGTTCAGTGCACTGAAGGCATGTATCCCGAGAGAGTGCCAGTGCAAGTTATGAAGTATGACTTCTATTCATTAAAGTGGGTAGTGAAGGTTAGGCCATCTTTAAGGGAGGGGCATTAGACTCCACCTTTTATGGAAAGAGAGTCAAAGATTTTGGACGTGTTTAAAGTCGCCACACCTTCATCTCCATATAAACTACTTGCGCTCGAATCCTTTCCTCAAGTTTGGCTCTTGGAGGAAGCCATACTAAAAAAACTTTCGAACCTATTTCTCTAAACTAAATCTTTCTCCTGGATCTCATACCGACATTCAAAATGTGTACAAGAGAACTTCACCCGCACATCTAACAACAGGCAATTCAAACTAAATGTGCCCAGAGATGAACTTATCTTCACTACCAGACCCTCCCCACACACCAAAAAAAACAAAAACAAAAACAAAAACAGCTCCTTTTCTCGTGTTCCCCAAATCAGTGAATGGCTGGATCATTCACCTAATTCAAGTAAAAAACTTGAGCTTTATACCTGATTTCTCCTTCTTTCTTCAACTTCTATTCAGTCATTCTCCAGGTCCTGTTAGTTCTGGGTGCTAGCTAGTCCTAAATTTTCTCCTGCACCATGCTGCTATCCTTTGTCCCTAGGGATACAGAGATTGCTTCCTGTCTTACGTCTTTAGTCAAGCCAATCTTTAATTTATTCTCCTCATAGTAACCCAAATAAGCAATCTAAATTGTAAAACTGATCTTTTACCAGCTCTTTAAAATCTAATGAATCCCTATTGCCGTCTGGATAAAATCTAAACTCTTTGGCATGGTTTTAGCAATTATTAGGTGATATTTCTATATTGACTCTTTCTCTGCAGGAACCATTTTCTATCTGGTTCATTTTGCCTTCTCAGGGCATTGCACAAAGGATATGGAAATATATACATGGAAATACACCCTCACACATTTGAAGTCCCCATTACTGGTCTATAAAAAGAGCAAAATACTAGAATTGTGTACATGAATCTACCCATAATTTAAGGGTAGGTGAGTGGGAGGATTAATTAGAGAACTAAAGGAAAACTTGGAGGTTAAGAGAGAAGATCTTACACCTGTAATGAAGGAGTTATAAAAAATAACACAGCAGTCCAAGCTCAAGCAAATTTGTCATTCTATCAAGAAGTGTCAGATAAGTTAATTTAGAGTTGCTGCTCCGTCACTTAAAAGCTTTACTTATCTGCATACTTGGAAATTAAAAATTTTGATAACATTTCCGTTTCATAGAATCATCATAAAAATAAAGATTAAATACTTGACAGTACTTTGAAATATTAAATGTTATACAGTTACATGATGGTATGATTATTTTGTAATTCACATAATGAACATCAATAGTAACATTAAGATTCTCAATAGCTAACTAAGGATAAAATGAGTCAGGCTTACTCTACATACTGACATTGAATTTCCATGCTTACTAGAGGACAGAATATTAGGAAGGCCCATAATCAGAACTCAGAATGAAAATCCCCAGATTCTTATAGCTGTGAAACAAACCAAAAAGTTAGTAGCTTAAAACAACAATAATTTATTATTTCTCATTATTAATAATCATGATTCTGTGGGCTCATCTGTTTCATTTTCTTGCTCCATGTCTTGCAGATGAAATTGCTCATGATGTAGCATTCATCTGGGAGCTAACCAAGGAAGGAACAAGATGGCTGTCTTTTCACCCTCCAGGGTTTCTCTCCACATGACCTCTCATCTAGTTCAAGCTCCTTTACAACCTGGCAGTTAGCTTTCAAGAGGAAGCATTCCAGAAGGACAAACCACAATGTGCAAGGGCATAAAAAATTCTACTTGCATCATACTTGCTAATGTCCCATTGGCCAATGCAAGCTGCATGGCCAAGCCCACAGATAATGTGGGAGGGATCCACAAAAGGGCATGAGGGAGAAATAGTCTGTTGACCACCATCGATTCAAGTCTACCACTGGCAGTCTAGTGAGCACACTGTACAAGTTAAGTGTATGGGCTCTGTAGCCAAACTATCTGCATTAAAATCCTGTGTAATTATGGAAAATTTTTACCTTTTCTTAGCTTGCTTAACATAAAGGAAACAAAAATCCTCAGAACTGGACCAATAAGCAACATCATGATAAATGGAGAAAATATTCATGTTGTCAAGGATTTTATTTTACTTTGACCCACAATCAATGCCCATGGAACTGTCAAGGCACCAAATGACATATTGCATTGTTGCATTGCCAAATCTGCTGCAAAAGATCTTTTTAAAGTGTTAAAAAAGTCAAGATGTCACTTTGAGGACTAAGGTGTGCCTGAGCCAAGCCACGGTATTTTCAATTGTTCCATGTCCATGTGAAAGCTGGACAACGAATACAGAAGACCGAAGAATAATTTATTCCTTTGAATTATGGTGTTGGTGAAGAATATTGAATATAATACGGATTTCCAGAAGACCAAATAAATCTGTCTTGGAAGAAGTACAGCCAGAATGCTCCTTAGAAGAGAGGATGGCGAGAGTTCAGAAGGACATCATGCTTGGTAAAGTAGAGAGTAAGAGAAGAAGGGGAAGACCCTTAATGAGATAGACTGACACTGTGGCTGCAACAATGGGCTCAAATATATCAGTGATTGTGAGGAAGGTGCAGGACTGGGCAGTGTTTCATTCTGTTGTACATAGGATCACCATGAGTTGAAACCAACTCAACTGCACATAAGAACAATAACAAAAGCTTACTTTCCCATCTTTTAAAGGGGGAGACTTAAAGAGAAAATCCATGCAAAATGCTTAGAATAATGTCTGGAACAGAGTTTTAAATGTTCAAGTTCAATAAATGCTAGTTACCTGTCATGGATTAAATTACGTCCCCCTAAAAATGTGTGTATCAATTTGGCTGGGCCATGATTCCCAGTATTGTGTGGGTGTCCTCCATTTTGTGATAGTAATTTTATGTTAAAGAGGATTAGGGTGGGATTGTAACACCCTTACTAAGGTGATATCCCCAATTCAATGTAAAGGGAGTTTCCCAGGGGTGTGGCCTGCACCACCTTTTATCTTACACGAGATAAGAGGAAAGGGAAGCAAGCAGAGAGTGGGGGACCTCTTACCACCAAGAAAGCAGTACCAGGAGCAGAACGCATTCTTTGGACCTGAAGTTCCTGTGCTGAGATGCTCCCAGACCAAGGCAAGACTGATGTATCACAAGGATCTTCCTCCAGAGCTGACAGAGAGAGAAAGCCTTCCCCTGGATCTGGCACCCTGAATTTGGACTTCTAGCCTACTGGACTGTGAGAAAATAAACTTCTCTTTGATAAAACCATCCACCTGTGGTATTTCTGTTATAGCAGCACTAGATATTAACATTATTACTTTTATTAGTAATAATATCTGATATACTCCTTTTATTCACATGTTGAGTTGAAGGTTATCTCATATATCAATTACAGAAAAATAGCAATGCATGCCTCTCTACTACAAATGGTAATTTTCTATGTTTTTGAGCGGAATATAAGTGGGTGAGAGACTCATAATTACTTAAATGAATTTGTTTCATGACTCAGTCAGAAGTTATTAGGCAGTGCCTCACTATATTTGTCTTTAATTGCAGGTTCCGGTGTGTTGTCTACCCTTTTAAACCAAAGCTCACTATCAAGACAGCGTTTGTCATTATTGTGATCATCTGGGTCCTGGCCATCACCATTATGTCTCCATCTGCAGTAATGTTACATGTACAAGAAGAAAAATATTACCGAGTGAGATTCAACTCACAGAGTAAAACCAGCCCAGTCTATTGGTGCGGGGAAGATTGGCCAAATCAGGAAATGAGGAAGATCTACACCACTGTCCTGTTTGCCAACATCTACCTGGCTCCACTGTCCCTCATTGTCATCAAGTATGGAAGGATTGAAATTTCACTCTTCAAGACTGCAGTTCCCCACAGCGGTCAGCAGAACCAGGAGCAGTGGCATGCAGTGTCCAAGAAGAAGCAGAAAGTCATTAAGATGCTCCTGACTGTGGCCTTGCTTTTCATTCTCTCCTGGCTGCCCCTGTGGATGCTGATGATGCTCTCAGACTATGCTGAACTTTCTCCAAATAAACTATATGTCATCAACATCTACATCTACCCCTTTGCACGCTGGCTGCCCTTTTGCAACAGCAGCGTCAACCCCATCATTTATGGTTTCTTCAATGAGAATTTTCACTGTGGTTTCCAGGATGCTTTTCAGCTCCAGTTCCGCCAAAGGAGAGCAAAGCCCAAGGAAGCCTACTCCCTAAGAGCACATACCAATATGGTCATAAACGCTCTAATCAGCTAGCTCAGGAACCTACATTTCAAAACACACATGGTGAAAATGTGCTTTATAATAAAAGTGCTGAAAAACCCAGACAGGAATTAATGACGGAAGATTTGGGAGAAGCTTCCAACAATGATGAGATTAAAAGAGAGCTGGGGTAATTATTTTAACTCTACTACGTGTATATATTGAAATCCTACTGCTTTCTGTGGGTTTGTACTTCAATTCTTTCTATGAATGTGGTAAAGAAAACATATACTGAAAGCCCCCTCTGGGAAAAAAAAAAGTAAACAAAAACGGTCTTATGATGATAACCAATCTTGTGGCATTTAAAGTATGTACAGTGACTTGTATATAATTTTGCCTAAATAAATCCATTTTCTAGGAAATAGTTTTCAAAGCCTGACCCTTCTCAAGTTAAACATTTGTGCATGAGTAAAGCACATCTGTATATGTGTATGTGTGTGTTTGGAAACACACACATGTAAACACACACTTATGTACGCGTTACCCCCATATGGTGGTAAATGGGCTATGCTTTGTATTACAGTACATTTTGTCAATTCCTCCTTTGCTTTTGGATTTGAAATTGTAAAGTACAAAAGTATTTATTTGCTTCAACTTTGAATATGTACTTAGCTTTCTTAGAAATGTATTGGATCTCAAGAAGTTCTTTGCTACTGCTTTTTTCATCTTCATTAATTTATTTGGGTTACTCCGAGAACAAGATTTTATAGGTCTGTGGGTAATTATCTTACAGGTGTCCTCACCTTCTCTGTTAAAACTTCAGGAGCAAATAAAGGGATACTGTTTTTCTTTGTATTTAAACATTTTTTTGTGAGGAACAGTTGAAGTTGGGAAAACCATAAAATTGATCCTTAGGTGCGCTTATTGACTTTTTTGTGTTTTTATAAATGTTATGTCCTAACTGAAATCACGTTTGTTAAAGAGATGATTCAGTACCTCAATCTTCCCTTTTTTCTAACAGAACATTTGACATAAAGAAGGAAATCTTTCAATAATGTGGCATTTGGCAAAAGAATGGCAGCTTTCTTTTAAAGTGCTTAATCAGAAATGTTCAACAATCATCATAAAGACTCTCATAAAGTACCTAAAAAGCAAGACCAATTATTCCATATTCCTACTGGGCACAACATTTAAATCTAGTATCCCAGGTTTAGTAAATTAGTACTAGTGTTAAAAATAGAATTGGTAACCCTTGATTTCTGCTATGATACAATTACATAATGACAACGCTTCTAAATATTAGCTTTTATTCTAAGGTCAGATAAGACCATAAAAAACCAGAAATTATAAAAGAACAAATACTTTGACAAAAATAAATCTCTGGGCTTGCAACTATTGTGTTTTTCCAGTTTTTTATGTGTTTCAAGCTAAAAGCTTTTCAACATTGTAGGCCCTTGAGAAATAGTTGTTGAGTTTAATTGAACTGAGCTATGTGGGATCTGATATTTGAATACGCAGGTGAATCAGGTAAATAAAAAAATGAAAAGCAAACAAATATCATAGGTAATAACTTCAGAGATATAGTGCCTTTTGTTCATGAAATATGAGCATGATAGTATAAGGAATACGCAGAAGATAAACAAAAATAGCCCAAATAATGTAAAATAACAGAAATAAAGAACTCAACATAAAGACTGGAAAGAAAGTTGAGGAAATCTTTTTGAAAGTACAAGAGGCAAAAAATAAAGGAGAGAAGATGAGAATATGGGCAACCCAGAAGCTCCAATATCTGACTAGTAAGAGTTGAAGAAAAGGAACATAGAAAATAATACTACAAAAAAATTCTCCAGGATTGAAGGACCTTCATTTTCTGATTGAAAGGGCCCATTTTGGGTCCAGTATAATAATTCAAAAGAAAAAAGAAAGAAAAAAAAAACTTACTATGAGGCATAATTTCATCAAATTCAAAACCCTGGGATAAAGAGAAGTCCGAAAGCTTTCAGGGAGAAAAACAAAATACAAATCATGAGTAAAAGAAGCCAGAATAAAATGGTATCATATTTTTCAGCAGTAATGCCTGACTTCTCAGCAGTAACAATAGAGCAATCCTTTAAAAATTCTGTGGGAAAAGATTTCCAATCTAGAATTTTGTATTAAAAAAAAAAAATGCCATCAAGTCAATTCCAACTCATGGTGACCCCATATGTGTCAGAGTAGGACTGTACTCCATAAAGTTTTCAATGGCTAATTTTTCGGAAGTAGATTGCCAGGATTTTAACCAGTAACCACTGAGGGCAACTTTCTGAAGTTTTAGATAAAGAATTTAATCTTATATTCTTTTACTCTGATTTATTGAAATACCATTGACAGTTGGGATACTTAGACATTGAAGATTATTTTGACAGAGATGATCACTTTCTTATGGAAATTCACGTGGATAATGTTCTACTTGTACCTGAATCTCGTCTTAACTAAATCCACACCCCTACCTCTCATCTACCTTTCCTTTATTACCTTCAATCCCTCATTACCTTTTCCCAAATGATTGCAAAACCCTCCTTTCTGAATCACATTCTGCTTTCAATTCTTCTATACTTGGCAGAGTCATCATCCTGAAGTGGAGGGCTGATTTGCTGTCCCTTGTAAAATGCCGCAGAGGATCTCTGCTGATTAAAACAGATACAGATGCTCCAAACCTATCCAGCCTAGCCTTTGTCTTCTGGTAATATCTGCAACACAAATTGTTTTCTTAACTCCCATCAAACAGATGGTTAGCCAAGATTGTTCTGTTTGTTCACCTACTACTTCTCTGCTTCACTCCCCTGTCTATCTGTTCTTTGCCCAAAGTCTATTCAAAGGCCAACTCTCACAGAAAGTCTGTCTGCATTCTTATATTACTTCCCCAAGCACTCTATACCTCTTTTATGACAACCTAATTTGTATTGTAATTGTTATGTCTTATCCTTGTAACTAGAATATAAACTCCTTAAGGGCATGATGAATAGATCTAACTCATTTTTAGATACCCTATGGTGTGGACCACAGTAACAGGCAGTTAATAAATATATGCTGGATGAATACTACAGGCAAAGGCCATCTGTCAGCTTAACATGAATATAATCAATGCTGAATGAATAGATTTCTTCATACAGATTCCAGCACACCTATTATATACAAATAGAAATCCTGTCTATAAATCAGAATAAAAAAGGTAAAAGGAAAAGAGAGCTAAAATGTTTTGAACATGCATCAAAAAAACCAATCCAAACCCAATGCTGTCAAGTCAATTCCAACTCATAACAACCCTATAGGACAGAGTAGAAGTGTCCCATAGGATTTCCAAGGCTGTAAATCTTTACGGAAGCAGACTGCCGCATTTTTCTCTTGTGGAGAGGCTGGTGGGTTTGAACTGCAGACCTTTCAGTTAGCAGCCAAGTGCTTAGCCACTGCATCACCAGGGCATAGTCACTAACAATTGGATTCTGAAATCAGGTAGAGCATGTGCCACCTACTAGCTTAGTGCCTTGGACAAATAACTTTTCTATGTCTCAATTTTCTCATCTGTACAATAGGGATAACAATAGTTCCTTCTTGGTTTGTTGTGAGAATTAAACAAACAAACAAAAATGCTTATAAAATACAAAGCAGAGGGATTATCACATAGTAAGGGCTAAATTGTTACTGCCGCTATTTTGGTTATACCTAGGAGCATTAATAGTAGTACATAGTAGTAAATATAATACTTCACAATCACTATGCTAGGTGATTTTTTTAGATGTTCTTTAATTCTCTCAAGCACACTGAGGTAGGTATTATTGTCACCATTTTACAGATGAAAACACTGAGTCTAAGAGAAGTTAGTTTGCCCAAAGTCATAAAGCTTGAAAGTGGTAAAACAAGTTGGAACTCAGAAATACCTAATTTCAAAAACTTTGAAAGTGGTAAAACAAATTGAAACTCAGATATACCTAATTTCAAAAACTTTTTTTTTTAACTTTATATTTGCTTCTGTACCATTTGTTGTTCTTGTTAGTTGCCATTGAGTCTATTTCGACTCATGGCGACTCCATGTGTATCAGAGTAGAACTGCACTGCAGAGAGTTTGCAAGGCTGTGACTTTTGGAAGCATATCGCCAGACCTGTCTTCAGAGGCGCCTCTAGGTAGGTTGGAATAACCAACGTTTTGTTTAGTAGTTGAGCATTTAACCCTTTGCGCCACACAGTGATACACTTCTATACCATATCATCTATTTCTTGTGCTGAATTTGTTTTGAATGTTTTCAGTAACCATTTTTCTGTTTATAAAAATAACACTACTTGCAGAATTTTTGAGAAATACAGAAAGGTACAAAGAAGAATAATTACACATATTCCTTTACCGAAAAAAAAACTACTCAAAATACTTATTCTGAACGACACTTAGATCAACACTTAGTACACAGATCTTTGCCAGTAGTGATTGTTTCCTTAAAGAAGATGTCTAGAAGGGAATTAACGGCGGTGGAATTATTATAAAGTTTTTGATACTACTAGGTTTTTTCCAAAAATATATTAATGTGCAATCCCAAACATGTAGTTGTCTATATCATCTGTATCCTTACATACATTAAATTTTCTTCTTCAACTTTGCTAATTTAATATGTGAAAGTCATCTAAATTTGTTGTTTTGCTTATTACTAAACTGGAACGTTTTTCCATGCTTCTTACTAATTTGGTTTCTTCCTCTTCCCATATTTGGTTATTTTCCCAATGCATTATTTTTTGGTTTTGCTTTTTATTCATTAATATGTATGCTGTATGTTTTAGACACATCAATCCTAACAAGAAGAATTATCACTTTTAAAGCAAAGATTAAATGTCACTTCCCTGCTTAAAATCCATCAATATTTCCCTTTCAAATTAGGAAAAAAAACAAAAACAAAAACAAATTCTTTACCAAGACTTACACATCATTACTTTTTCTGCCCCCTGCCTACCTCTTAACTTTGTATCCAACCCCACACTCATCATTCACTATTCCTCTGTCATTTGCCAAGCTCTTTGCTGCTTCTAGGTCTTGTACTTGTGTTTTTTCTGCCTGAAATACTCTCCTTTTGGCTTCGCATACACTGGGTCCTTCTCACCGTCTAGGGCTAAGCTCAAACCTTACCTGAACTTTATTTTCTCCATAGCAATTCTCATTATCTGCAATTATTTTCAGGATTTATTTTCTTACTTGTGTAATATCTATACTCCTACTGGAAAGTAAACTAAAATGGCAGAGACTGTCATCATTGTATCTCTAGTTTCTAAGAGTACCTGGCACAAAATGGCTACACAATAAATTTTTGTTGAACAAATTAACTGATTGCAAATATTTTCCATTTCTTTATTTTAATTATAATTGTATTTACTATTACGCACCCACTGCCTTCATGTCGATTCTGG